GCTCTAAGCACCGGCTCTCAGCAGCTCTTTAGGTGAGTCAGGTTAGCATTCGGACTTCAAACTAACACACAAACTGAGGCGTGTGGTTGGATAAATGTTTGCATTTGAACGCTTGCACGGTTTGTTTGTTAATTTATAGTTCTTCTTTGCACTGAATGGGATTGGACCCAATTTTGTTGAACTTTTTTTTGGTATAATTACATTAAAAAGGATTCTGATTCTGTAACAGCAGGTAAAATGACTAGATTTATTGCTGTCTGACTTGGAGACTTTGAATTTCAAAATTTGGTGCTGCTAGAAAACGTCAAAAATTTTAGACTTGGGATGCACAATATTCTGGTTTCATCTGCACGTTGAAGTGACAGCAGACCATTTCTGAAACTGTAGGGCAAACGGAACCAGAAAGGTTTTTTGTGTGATAGTTTAGAACCAGTATTAGCGCTGAAATGCGTAAAAAGTCTTCTTCAGATCACTTTGCACAACAGAGAAAACTGTTGCTTGTGCACGGCTAACAGCAAACATTCAGAAGTCATACAGAAATGTTCCTGGGTTTGAACGATTAAATCTGCTTTTACGGCTTTTACGGAAACGTTACCGGCCGCTTACTCCTGACATGCAGCCGACACGTGCAGATATCGAACTGAGCAGAGCTAGATTAGGAAAAATCAAACCCAGCATGATGTTTGAACTGACAAAGTGTAATGAAGTAGTTGCACAAAATCAAACTTGACATCACGCTATTAAAAAGCCTGTATGTTTCCTAATAGATTTGTAAACTGAGAGTCCTCACACTGTCTTTGGAGACTGCAAAGCTTATTTTGCAAAAAAAAAACTTCTTGCTCTAAGGGTCCTGACTTAAAACTAAAAGTTGAGTCAATGATTTTCTATTATCATATGAATAAAACTTTAACTGGGAGTTCTGACTGGTGAAACTGTCACGAGTTAATCAGCTCCAGAAGACTCCCTGCTTTGCTGGAGTCTTGCAGATCCTGGTCGTGGCTCTCTGTAATTTGGCCGCATAGTCGTAATTACTTCCCAATTGCATGTGTGACCAAAGCCGCAGCACTTGTAGTGATGAAACCGCTGAGAATTACTACGCTGCACCATCCTACTAACTCAGTCTTCTGGTTTCCTGTTTTCAGTTTCAGTTCAATCTCACCTCCTTCATCAATCTGTGGGCTTCACAGTGTTCTCTAACGGCAGAAAGATAATTAGCAACAAGTTAGCAGCCAAAGCCACATAATTACTTCAGGACACCAGAAGTGGAGCAAGAGGGAAGCAAATATATCAATGCTGTGTTCAGTTATCCTTGTTGTGCTGTCTTCAAGTGGCCAAAAAAGTTTGGTTCTAAGTCTTCTTGACAGACCTGTACTCTGTGTTTTTCTTGCAGGGCACTAACTTGGCGAGGCAGATCGGTGCCGTGGCCTACGCAGAGTGCACCTCAAAGTATTCGGAGAACAGCGTCCGTGATGTGTTCCACGTCACCACCCTGGCGTCCGTGTCCAGCATCCACCGGCCTCAGCTCAAGCGAGCTGGCTCACGTCGCGGCCTCAAGCGGGTCTCCCAGCAGCCACCTCGGACTGAGATTCACGAGCGCCCGCCCCCCATTAGAAAGGACCGAGCCAAAAGCTGCGTGCTCATGTAGCGGACCGGAGCCCGAAACCAGCGACCCGACCTGTGCGTGCCGATGGGCGTGAACCATTCTGCACATGAACTTAATTTATTGGTGAATTCTTGTCAGATCTTTGCACTGCATAAAGGACAATGTGATGAAAACAAGAATGAATGCTATCCCGTGGAGTTCTTTGAGGGACTGCTTGTCCGTTTTTAGCAAAATCCTGCTTGTTATTTTTATTTTTCATTTTTTGTGGCTGTGTTCTCACCAGGGGAGGCCATTCTAGACGCTTTTTTTTTTTTTTTCTTTAATGCTTTTACTGGAACGAGAGGAGAAAAACAGTGTGGTTTCACAAATGAAACACAGGACAGAAAATAGCGAGTTTGGAGATTAAAGAAAAAAAAAAAAACACACATTTCAAAGATTGTCTTGCAGGAAGCAGCAGTGCTGGTGTTGACCTCTATTATGTTGTTTCCTGTTTTGAAATGCTATTCTGTCTTCAAGTGTTTAAGTAAATCAAGCACAACAGGATGCAAACTGTTCTGAGAAATCTGTAAATGTCAGGGAATGAACTCTGCGGTTCCACTTCATACCATAAATTGAATAGAAAATCTGGACAGATGAAAAAATTACAAAAAAAACAAAAACAAACTCGTGGGCTGAGTTACGCTAATTTTCTTAAACCACAAGTGCTTTTAATATCGAAAACGAAATAATCACTCACCACATAATACTGAAGTGTTGTGCAATTAATTGTTCTAATCATCAACACTGGGAAGCAAAGTCACGGAGGGAGTTAAGAGGGTGAATATTATGTTGTATATGTAATAATGAAATAAAAAAAAAAATAAAAAACTTGCTCTGCTAAGTGTTATATTTGACCATGACATGGCCTTGATGCTGAATTATTATGCTCAGAGAAGTTAATAAATGGGAAATCTTTCATTCATTCTACTTTTTGTTTGTAATTGCATTTCGGTTAACTCGAGCCGAGGCCACAGCAGTTTCCAGCTCAGAATAATTTGTCTGCGACCGACAAGAACGCTTCTTTTTGCCTGTTTGCACTTAAATTCAAAGCCGAGACCAGCAGTGGAGGAAATATTCAGATACTTTACTTAAATAAAAGTACAAATACAGACATGGGGAAAATACTCGGTCCTGCATTAGAGATCCTACTTCAGTAAATAAATATACAGCAGGAAGTTAAAGTATTAAAAGAACTGGTTTGGTTCTCTGACTGATATGTTATTATATACATGACATCATCGGATGATTAATCCTGAACCATCAGCGTGTTGGTGCTGCAGGTGGAGCTGGTTTAAACTACTTATACACAGTTTTACATCCAGGGACAGCAGATGAATCAGAGGAAAGAAGTTCTGATACACAAACATGTTCCCAGTTTTTGAAATTTTTCTCTAATCAATAATTTGAGGTGAGATGTTTAATTGTTGAGCATTTACTGAGATTAAACCACGTGAGAAGTTTCAAAGGAAAAACCAGTTTGGTGGAGCTTTTAAATCTGAAACGACAAAGTGTTATTTGCAAAACTTGCAAAACCGCTAATTTAATCTTTACCGATGTGTTAAAATTAAACAGCTGTCACCATCCTGGTTTTAACAGTGACAAGTACGGGCTGGATCTGACTGAGGACTTGAGGACACCCTTTCACACCCACATGGGAGCGATTTGTAAATCACAAGGTGGCAACGCCCTGAGACATACCCTGCTGCTTTGTTGTCTGTTTTATTCAACACGGGATCATCGTTTACAAAATGAACATCGTGCTGCATTAAAGGAGACTTGAAACTAGTGGTTAAGACCATAAATTAATTAGGAAAATGTTTATTATGGTAGTAAATTAAACTAGAAGTAGGGTCATTTTCTCATTGACTTACTAAATGATTATACATCTTTTTGCAAGCAGAAGAGTCGCCCCCTGTTGGCTAATAGAAAGAATGCATGTCCACTTAGCCAACATATAGATGGTTAGATGCCACTACCATACATTCATGATAATCCATCCAACAGTGCTGGGATATTTCAGCCTGGAATAAACTGGTTAACAGAAACTGATGATTCACATCTGCAATTTCTAATTTCTAAATCATGTCAACTCTCCAAGAAGACAATAGCTGACTTCTCACTAACAAGTAAAGAAAAAGTTGTTATGAAACACAACCTGACCTGCATAGCGCGCATAACTTTGTTGGTTATGTAGGTTATGACTTCAAAATATGAAGAGAGAGCAGCCGGTTCACTCCTGACTGCTCTCAGCCTCTGCACGATAAATCCACGCTGGTGGTCTCTCACATTTCTGAGCATGACACCGAACTGTGGTGTGAATTTAGAGACTATCTAACGTCTTCATGGTCACATCAGGGTGCGAATCCCCGCAGGATTTATGATGTCAACACGAGCAAATCAATGGATGACCATGCAGAATGACGTAAATCTCAAGTGCAACCCCGATGTTTGGATAAAGAATCACTGGGCCGACTAAAGTAACCACTTCTACAAAAGCCATTAAATAAGTGCATAAGGACAACCACAGTCTTTGTACACCAAATAAAATCTCAGTGTCTAATTGCTGGCTTCTTAACGGCAGCAGTTGTTTGGATGCACATTTATTTGTATTCTTGAAGAAATAAAGAGCAGAGACAATTAATAGATTAATCGGCTGGCACAAGATGAATTGGCCTTTTTCACGATAGCTTAATCCGTCAAGGCTGAAAAATGCCAATTTTTTTTTTAAGCTATTTGTTGATTTCTCCAATCAATGACAGAGAATATCTTGTATGGTTGAGCCCACAAAAACCTCAGGACAAGTATAAAATGTGCTTTGGACTGCTGGTCAGATAAAACCAGGTGTTAAAGACATCCCATCATGACTTCCTAACATATTACAGGCCAAGCAGTTAACAGAGAAAGTAATTGGCACATTAATTATTAATTAAACAATTAATAGCTGGTGCCCTAAAAGGAGCTGTAATTATTGTACAATAACCCAACGCACTGCTTTCGCTCTTCTACAAATACTTCAGATCTATTGATTACGAATACATTCCCTCCGTATTAAAAATGAATGCAGCCGTTCTGGTGCGTCTGTATTCATGAGCCTCGTAGTCTGACCTTTAAGTGTGACTTTTGTTCCATTTTGTTTCCCACCACCATGGATAAGGCCCCACAGCAACTCGCTGCCTCTGTGAACAACAGCAAAGTGACATTTCACAGCATCGCTGCCATTTTGCCGTGCAGGGAGCGCGAGGTCACATCACACGCCGGAGGCCAGACCGGGCCAAAGCCCAGTCAGGGGGGAGAGGATGTCCACACACATGGAACATAAACAATCATGCATGTATACAGTGTCTGACAATGTGCGCATAGTAATGTAATCACTGGTGCTTTAGGCGACTAATAATAGTACATTAGGCTCACGGATAATGGTTCTCACTAGTGTGGTCTCATTCTAAATATAGTGCATTAAATGCTCCTTTATTACCCTCGTACAAAGTCACGTCGCCTATTATCATGGAAGGAAAAAGCCTGGTAGCTCGCTGTACTGACATAATAGGACCTAATTAGATTTGATGCTGAACACCAGCCGCGGCCCCTCTGAAGGATCACTAAAATCAAGTTAGAGGAGAAACTTGCAGGCCGGAGCGACTGCAGCCTCGGGCACTGGGTCAACCTCTGCTGTTTGTTGATGCTACAGAGAGACGTGAAAGATGTCACTTGGCTGTCTTTCTGGCCTCGTGGCTGAAATGAGCAAACACGTTTAGCAAACAGTCCTTCATCTCGTCCTCACCTGGCTCAGTAACATTCCGCTCACCATCCAAATGACGCTGCACGGCACAGTGGAGCTAATGGCAACGATTTCTCAGCTATTGTCAGACGCTTCCCATTAAGTTAAGGGGATTTGCGTGAGGCGAAACAAATGGGCTCAAAATAATGCAGAGCTGTTCTGATATAAGACCACAGAGAGAGATGAAAACATTACACACTGCAGCACGGGCAAGATGCTTTGAAATCTTCCACATTGTTTAAGCGTCGTCAAAGGTCACATAAGACCCCAGGATTTATATTTAATCTTTATATGCACAGGCTATGTGTTTGCATATATTATACAGCCAAGTTTGTTCAAATGTACAGTGGTCAAGTTAAATAAGATGGAAGAGGCAATGTTGTTCGCATTTAGCCAACACTGGCCAGAGGCACTTACAATGAGAAGAGTATAATGTGGTTTCTGGCATAACAGCGACCAGCGATGAGTCCTTCAAAAACCCTCCGATGAGCATGTATGAGAAGTGCCAGGGAAAGAAAAAAGCTAAGTGGAATAAAAATGGCAACAAACAGAGGAGGACAATGAAAGAGAATAAATTGTAATTTAAAGGAGGCTGATGTAATTCTTAGTTTGAGGTCAGCAAAGAGGGATAAATTGGCAGATATTTCATCTTGTGTTGTGGTAATTCTTGTATTGAAGGTAAACCTGGAAGCAGCCCCGAGCATCCACCAGGTAGGGATTTATTGTTTTTAGCAATGCTAGCAGCGTGATGCTAAACTTATCGGCTGTTTGAGACTAAAATATGTCAACAACTGTTGGATGATTCCCATGAAATTCTTTAAATACATTCATGGTCCCCTGAGGAAGCACGATACACTATAAAATAAAAACAGTGATTTTCCAGAATTTTTCTTTTTTCTTGTATAGTTTTTTTTCCCTCCAGTATTTTTAAGGATTGCATAAATATCAATAAAATGTCAAAAATAGACTCTGAGTTTACACATCGATTGTAATTTTTTATTTTTTTTAATGTACTATCTTTAAATAGTAGGTCTGTTTTTTTTTTAATGTTAAGATAGATTTATAAGTAGAGCATTTATTTAATAAATTCAGTTAATGTTTGTCATCCTATGTTAATAAATAAATGCCAATTTATTTTAAAATATGAATATATTTACCATATTATTATATGTATTTATGTATTTATTGTCTCTTCTTTTTTTTAATTCATGCTTTATCCAATTGTTTTATTGGCCTATGTTGCACTGAATATCTCAAAAACAGCACATGGAATGACGTTTCATTTAAACACACCTATAAATACACATTCCAATTAAATAAAGAAATATGGCTTAGAAAAAAAATCCTTAAATAAATAAATATTCATCATTAATTGGGCCTGAATATCCAGAGACCAGAAAGTGCTATTGGGACCAGCCCTACTAGTTATTATAACAACTATGAACAATAATTAACAACAAATGAGCCTTCAAGCATCAAGCCCTCCTTGTATCTCGACCTCCGTCTTGACAATCCGACAGCCTTGCTATCCGACATAAAAGAAGGTTTTACATTTAGTGTCGGATTATCGAGTCACGACTAATTTATGTCTCACTCCCTCGAGGACAAAATTCTCTTTCAGCCTGTGGTTGGGACAGAAGCTGAGCTGGTGGGCAAAGCCGTCCCGGTGCAGTGACGAGTCGAAGAACTTTCTCAAGAGCAGTTTGGGTGTCAGCAGGACTAAATCAGTGCTCTCGGGTAGGACGTCGACTACGACCAGACAAGCACTCCTCAGTGCTGTTCCTCGGAGCGCTGCTGCTTTTCAATCTCACCGTTTAATCAAAAGTAATTTACCTGGAATGAGAAGTGAAGGTGTTACTCCACCAACAACTTTCACATCCAGTCGACACCTTGCATTATAAGTCAGATGAGCCAGCCGCATGTAGAAGAAGAAGAAGAAGTCAGGTGAAAAGTTCACGTGTAATTATGGAAATGTTGACATGTAAAATTCATCACGGTTTGTTCACAGGAAAGTTTGTTCGCCCACTTTGGAGCGAGACAGCGATCTATCTGGATGTATTGCTCTTCCTGCATCATTATTATATGCACCATTATCTTCATACAAACAGAGCGTGCAGGGGGTCCATTTTTCATTTTAATTCCGCCGTAA